TTTATTGACGGGGAACCAAGTATCCGTTGGAACCGAACTGCTTTACAAGAGAGTAGTCCGGGGCTGTGGCTGAACGCGGGGAGCTCCAGCAAGCCGAGGACAGCTCCGCTGCCCAGACCCCAGCCCTGCCTCCGTGCTCCGGGGGACACCGCTTGCTCCAGCACCAGGACGCCGCCTCCGTCCCCAGCTGGTAAGACGTGGGAGCCCTGGAGCGCCCTGCTCCAACTGCCCTCCGGCCCTGCCAGCCCCTGCTCCCCACGGACGATGGAGGTGCCAGCAGCACCTGGATCTGGGTCCTTCGGCAATGGGGATGCGGGGCTGGGCCAGCTGGGGAGATGTCACTCGCTACGGTTTCTGCTGGCCCGGAAGGTGGGAAGGGTCCCCTGCGCTGGCACTGTGCGAGCTGCTGGTCCCCAGGGTGGTAGCGAAGGGGTGAATTCCCCATCCAGCCCAGTGACACCCAGCAACAGCCATCCACAAGCACGAGGGTTTGATTCCCCCGTCCCCAGCACGTACCAGCGGAGGGAGAGCACATCCCTCCCCATCCCCTCTCGGCAGCAGCTGCACCGGAGGACTCGTCCCTCCTGCTGGCTGAGCCGCCTGGAGGGCCGGGGCCGTCCCAGGGTCCTGGCTCAGTCCATCTTCACGACCATCTTCTTGACAGCCCGCCGGGATGTGCCGCACTTGCTGTTGATGACGGCGTTGAAGTTGCAGCCGCGGCCGCACATCTTGGTGACGTACTCTGCAGGGCGGACGGGGAGCAGTGCTCACCCGCGGCCCCGGAGGGAGGCAGCCGGAGATGGTGACCCCAGACCCATGGCACCACGATGCTCTCCAGGACTTTCTGCCCCCTCCCATGGCCACCCTGACTGAGCCCGGTGAGTGCCCGGCAGACCCTCAGCTCTTGCTCTGCCCTGACTCGCCCTTGGGCACTGGCAGGGGACGAGGGCCCTGTCCCACCACCTGTCCCCTCTCTGGTCCCTACCTTTGATAGCATTGACCACGGCGACCGGGAGGCGGACGGGCCGCGGCCGCTCCATGGGGGTGTTGTTGTGGGCGATGCGCTGCCCTGTGGCCGAGGACCGGGCCAGCGTCTCCCGGGAGAAGAAGTAGTCGAGGAGCCGCCGCGTCATGAGCTTGGGCTTGTCCGTGGAGACCTGCGAGAGGTCGTCTAGCTGCGGGTGGGTGATGTAGACGCCCGAGTTGGGCACCAGCTCCAGTTTGGGCCTCCCGTTCTCCTGCGGTGAGGGGAGAGCTCTCGTTCGGGGCTCGGCCGCAGCCTGG